ATCTATGGTACTCCACGGTATACCCTAAAAGAGCTGCTTGTTCTTGAAGCAAGTGACTTTGTAGTTTATTTTAGGGCCAAATCTCTACTCATTCTCTCAAGCTGGTAAAAAATTCCTTCTAGGAAAGTTTCCACTGAAGTTTTTTTTTATTGGCAGTAGTTCAGGTCTCAGATGAATACAGTAAGTTAAACCAGCCCACTGGATTTATTGCTGTTATCCTCAGTGCTGAGATGGAAGCATAACACTTGTAGTTCTCAACAGTGCTTAGCTTTAAAACCCATCTTAACTTTCTATAACAGGAAAAAGCTTATTTCTTCTATCCATATTATGACCAAGGGCCTAGCTCATAGAACAATTAAATAATACCTTATATAGCAGTATAAATTAGCCTGTTTCATGGCTGGCTGGTTAGCTCAGTTGGTTAGAGCATGGTGATGGTAACACCAAGGTCCAGGGTTTGATCCCTACACCCACCAGCCACCAAAAAAAAATAAATAAATAAAATAAATAAACAAGCCTGTTTCTTTAGCTCCTTACCATCCTTTTAGAAGCTGCAGTTACTTCTTTCATTATTTTAAAAAACTTTCTGGGAAAGCTGCACACTGACCACCCCCACAACCACCTTTTTGTTCCTCGTGACTTTTAAGTCAAAACAGAATTCTCCCAGCTTATTTTAAAGGCAGCAAAGAAACTGTGTTCAGAGGCAGTCCCATCAGAGCTTTGACTGCATCTTAAATACTTCATAAATCTTCTTTACTACATGTTGTACTATCATTCTGATGATTCGCAAGCAATGAAATTACAATAGTCATAACATCCTTGGAACATGATGTCTAAAAAAGAAAACATATTCCTTCAATATATAATAGAATGGAGGCATAAAAGGGCGTGTATCCAAGGTGAGAGAATGAGACCAGAAATGAATCTAGCTCCTCTGATTCTCAGCCAATATCTTGATCACTTGTTCATTCAACAAATAGTTTTGAATATGTTTTACATAGTAGGCACTGGGGAAACAAGGATGAACAAAATAAAGTTCCTACACTCACAGCATTTACAGTTCAGCAGAGAAGACAAACAACTTAACACAGTAAGATGTAATTCCTAATAGGGAAAATACAGTGTGTTATAGGAATCTACAAGGTTTGGAGGAGAAAGAGAACATGAGACAAAGAAATCAGTATAAATTTAGCAACTTTGGAAGATGGAGGGTAAAGTGGTAAGATGAGACTGGAGAAGGAGGTAAGGAGAGATTGGTTAGTGGGCAATACTAGCCTTGTTAGAGTTTAGACTTTATTCTCAGTGCAGTGTGAAGTCTTTTTATTATTATTTTTTTCTTTTTGCAGGGGAATCATGCAATCTGATTTACATTTTTAGAAAGATTACACTAAATTGGCTAACAGGGCACTGAATACTGTGATACCAGTTGAGAGGTGAGTAATGATGATGGTCTGGACTAGGATATGGGCACAGGGATGGAGTAGAATGAAAAGATAAGAGAAACATTTAGGCTTTGAGCAAAAAAGACATTTAGGTTTGGGGAGGGGTGTGGGGGGGTACACACGTGTATGCAGATGAGAAGATGAGGCACTTAGTCCTGGTCCTGTATAATTTGACCCAATTCTGGATATATTTGACCCAAATGAATATACAGTTGACCCTTGAACAATGTGAGGCTTAGGGCTGCCAACTTCCCACCCAGTTGAAAATCCACATATGACTTTTGACTCCTCAAAAACTTAAGTACTCATAGCCTATTTGTTGACTGGAAGCCTTACTGATAACAGAGTTAACATATTTTGTATGTTATATGTATTATATACTTTATTCTTACAATAAAGTAAGCTAGAGAAAAGAAAATGTTGTTAAGAAAATCATTAAGGACAAGAAAACCACGAGAGAGCACATTTTATTATGATACTCAATTTACTGGAGAGAGGAACTGCTTCCACGGAGAAGATTAGTATCACACTGCATTTTAAACACTTGAAACACTTGAGTTCTCTACAATAGCAATATGAGATGGTTACAAAATTATTACAGTAATACTATAGTTAATTTTATGTAGTTATGATTTAATATTGTATTTTTACGTTTATTTACATTTCTCTGAACTGCAAATGGTGCCATGTAAATATTGATGAATTTTAACTTTGTATAATAGATTTGTGTATATTTTTTGGTAGTAAATAATAAAATAGACTAGTATCTACATATATTTTATGCATTCATGACATCTTTAATTTTTTCTTAATTTTTTGATATTCTTAGGCTACATGGTTCATCTGCAAGTTTTTCAAATTGTCTCAAATCTCCAAAAAATTCTCCAATATTTATTGAAAAAAATCTGCATATAAGTAAACCTGCACAATTCAAACCTGTGTTGTTCAGGAGTCAACTGTATTCAAACCACTATTGTATTTATAGGTCTGGTGCTTCAGATAAGGCAGGTTGGAAACATTTATGAGTAATAAGGATTTTTTGTTAATGGAAACTGTAACCATAAACAGAATTGAAACTAAAGAAAGAATGTGCATAGTAAGAAGAGAGCCTATGGAAGGGACGCCATCATCAGAACACAGATGGGTCAAGGAAGCAGGCCTAAAATAAGACAGAGAAGATGTGGCTTAAAAGGCATAAGTAAAAAAAGGAGGGTGGTTTTTAGTAACCAGAGTGTGTTAGTATATTTCCAGAAGAATGGAGTAATAAAATTGTTAAATGGCACGAAGAGGTTAAGCTACAAAAACTGAAATGTTGGTTGATTTAACAGTGTTTCTCAACTTTCTTTTCCTTATTGCCTGCTAAGGAGCCTTTTTAGACTCCACTCTCCCATCCCTGCCAATCAAATCCCTCCCCCATAAATTAAAAAAACATTTTTTTAATTGTACATTGACAAATTATAGTTGTATATATTTATGGGGTACAAAGTGATGCTATGATTTATGAATAAATTGTGAAATAATTAAATCAGGCTAATATCCCCGTAAAATTTTAATACCATAGAATATTGTATATGTTTATGTACTTCAAGTATACCTATACTTTATACATAAAAAGTATGATTTTTTTTTTTGCCTCACAAGAAGTAGTTTTTGACTGCATCGAGAATGCATGATTTCACACATAGAAGACAATGGTGATTTTGGTAAAAGTAGTTTCAGTGCTAGTTCAGTGAAATGCTGGAAATAAGGCATTGCAGTGGGTTGAGAAATAAATAAATAGCAAGAAGTGGGAAAAAACAGAGACAAGTAGATTCAAGAAATCTAGCTGTGAAGGGGATGAAAATGCAGGAATATAAATGGAGTAGTAGTTCATAAAGTGAAGGACGAATATTTTTAAATGCTGAAGGGAAGGTGTGAATAGAGGGGGAAAAGCTGATGGTAGGAGAGATGGAAACTGAAAGAAAAAAGGACCCTGACGAGGTGGAGAGGATAATACTGTGAGACCACGTGAAAGAATATGCCTTCTCTAAGGAGAAGGGACACTTTTTGCTTTTCAACTAGAAGGGGGAAAGGTTTGTATATTTGGTTGCAGGAAGATGATGGTTTCTATTTTCTCTGTGTAATGGGAGAGAAGGTCATTTGTAGAGGGAGAGAGAATTCCTCTTCTCTGCAAATACCATTTGCTAATCATTAATTGAAGTATTGTTGAGCTAGTTAAAAATATCTAGTCTGCAAGGAACTCCAATAGTATATTATATTGAATGGTTAGAAACTTAGAAAATCATAAGATTCAGTAAGAAAAACTAACCTTGTTGCAAAGAGAGCTTTCCTGCTAAACATTTGTAAGTTTCAGGTAATTCTTAATCTCATTCACTCCATTTTTCCTATAGTCTCAATTGAGTGTCCTTCTTTCCTTCCACAATCCTTCTATTTGTAATCTTGATCCCACTCCTTCCCTTCTCTTCTGGGATCTTATCTCCTCTTTCTGGAATCTTTAATCTTGTACTTTAGTTACTTGCTTTCTGCCACCAAACACATGCTTTGGATTCTTCTAAACAAACTCAAACCATGCACTTTACTACTCTGAGTAATCGTGCTTCATGCCCCAAGTGATGAAGGATTAGTCTACACTTTCAGTTTCTCCTCAGTCACTGACTCTATTAAAGCAGCACTCTCAAAGGCTCAATGAATTTCTAATCAAAGCCAACGACCTAGTCTCAGACTTCACTTCGTCCTTTGATCTTTGCAGCATTTATGTCACTGATAACCTTCCCCAAAACAAAACAAATACTTCTCAACCTACTATATGAAATTTCACCTTTTGGTCCTCACCTTAAAATTTTCCTTCCGGCTTAATTCGCAATTCCCCCCGCCCCCCCCCCATCTTTCTACCATCTCCACCTAAACCACTGTGTCAAATTCGGTAAATTCTAAACTCCACAAAATTCCTCCTCACGTGAGAGCTACTAATTTTATAGTAGCACCGTCTTCTTAATCATGTAGGCTACAAGCTTCAGCTTCAGGTTCAGACAAATCCACCAAATCCAACCAGCCACATCGCTCAACACTTTTCCATACTTACTACGCCTCCTCAATTTAGATCCCTGTCACCTCTTTTCCGAAAAACTGCAAGGCAATCCTCACTGTATTCCCCACCCCAAGCTCATCCAGGCAGCACCCTCAGATAAGCGGACGGACCGTCCGCTTAGGTCCGTCAGGGGTTTTGTCCTGCAGACGCGCGGTCGGTACTGCAGCTCACTGTGGCTGACACGACCTTCTCCCCGCGCCGGCACACGAAGAGGGACTGCAAAGAGTCTGACCTCCCGGCCCGGGGTCCGGCGAACCCTGGGGCAGGTGCACCGCTCCCTTCCGGCCCTACTGGCAAGAAAGCCCGGAAGGCCAGGGTCCAGGGCTGCGGTGGGGGAGAGGCACGCCCAGGTCCCCAACATCAGAGACTCTCCCAGAACCCAGACTGGAGTCCGGAGCCCCATGTGTTCAGTCACCTCCCCAGTTATCGAGCTGCCTCCAGTGTGCAGACTCCCCACCCTGCACACTCACCCCGACACCTGGGCCCGTCAGTGTTCGGCGCCGGGTCCTCTCTGGACCGAAGCTGAGGCAGCAGAGAAGGCCGTGAGGACCCTGGCAGTGGGAGTGCCCAGTAGATTGCCTGATTAACAGGTTCAAAGACACCGACTCGGTCTAAAATATTAGAAAAATTAAATAAGAGGGAAAACGTTACATGAGAGGAAAGACGTCTCTTAAGGTTTAGGATCTAAACTTCTGTATTACTCGAGATCTAGAAGAATGGGGGTTTCGCACCACCTGGATTCAGGCGCTCATCCGCAGCCTAACTCAGTCTGGGGTCCCCTACAGTAGGGTATGTGAGGTCAGGAAGAGGCGGGGCATTAACTGTGGGGCCGAGATTAGAGCCAATGGTTGCGGATGAGAGAGGCGCAGAATGGGCGGGGTCGGGGGCGGAGTTTGAATTAAAAGGGCGGGGCCGGAGAGCCGATGGGGGTGGGGTGCGTGGTGGAGCCAAAGTTGGGTGGGAGCGCGAAGATGGCAGCTGCTGAGGAGGAGCCTAAGCCCAAAAAGCTGAAGGTGGAGGCACCACAAGCGCTGAGGTGAGCGCTGCCCTACGTGGGGAGGGGGGTGACGGCGCCTGCAGCAAGCCAGGGCCCATGTGGGTTTGCGCGGTCCCTGCGCTGGGTGGTGTCCCGCTGCTTGCATGGGGCCAGTACGCATTACCTGCCACTCGGGCAGCTGCCCGCATGGCTGCAGCCTCTTGCCTGGCGCCCTCTCAGTTTGTCTGGTCGTGTTGCCGTCTGCTCCGATGCAGCCCCGGCAGCCCTTGGCCAATCAGAGCGGCCTGCCGGGGGTGCAGAGCCGGCTGCAAGCAAGTTGCTGGCAAACTGCGGGCGCCACTTGTGAGCCCGCTGGGGCTGGGCTCCTGCGACCCTGGAGGACCGGACCGGACCAGAGCAGCGTTCATACCCTACCATCTTCTCTTCTCTGGGGGATAGCGGGGAGGAGGTTCAGTGCCTGCTCTACCCTGGGGCAGAAACAGAATTTTCGTAGAAAATGTCGTGGAAGGGCCCCTTGACCTTCCTTTTCCTATGCACTATGAACGTCGGTACCTTTGAAGTCCCTCTCCTAGGGATTCAGACACCGCCTTGGAGGTTTTGCAGGGGTGGTATTTGGTTGAATCGTTGGGGAAGTAGACTTTTCTTTTTTTATTTGCACTTTTTGGCAGCTGCGGAGACAGGCTGCTAACACCTGCCTCAAACGTGATTGGTGTTGCAACTTTTACCAATAAAAAGTCGTTTGTTAAAATATTCCTTCCTAATAATTATAAAGTGCAGCAAACACAGTCTTTGATGATTTTGAAACGTTCATTGGAAGACAGTGATTTTTCTCTCTAAAAATAGACATATCGAACTGATTTAAAATTATTGGGACACTCATGATTATAAAGACAAATCGCATTTCTCCCAACATCACTCTTCTTCACCTCCGAAAGAATGAATCACAATTGAAAAGAAAAGGTCACTGAGGGGCTTGGTGGTGTGTTCATGCTGTTTTGAATGGAGGGTGACCAAATCCCTGCCAGTGCCTTTAATGTGTTACTACCCTCAAAGGGTTAGTCTGCCTACCTTAAATACCAAGAATATAATGTTTTTAACAACTCAGGATGTTCTATTTTTATTTTAAGCTTTCAAACTATATGTAGAATAAAGCATGGGCTTTTGAATCAGAGCTGTCTGAATTCAAGACATGTACTTTGCCTACTCAGCCCTTTATTACAGTATTTTCTTAAAAGGGACCTCTTTCACCAAGCTTCCCCTACCAAATTGGAAGACAGATGGAACTTTTCTCTACTATCCTAAAAATACAGCCCTTAGATTTTTCCTTAATAAAAACAATACTTTATATATAATGCTGATCCATTTTCACAGTACTTTCCTATGTGTTGTCTCATTAGACAGCTCTATGATTTAAGGAAGGCAAGAAGTACTCCTATTTTACAGATGAAGATTTTGGAGCCTAAATGAAACAGTTAAGGAACAGGAATATGAACCCAGGGCACCTGAACGCAAGTTTATTATTTGACTCTACTGTGCCTACTTTTTTACACAACCACCCAAGATATGCTTCTCTCTGCTTATGCATCCTTAAAAATAATGATAAATAAAATGTTTAATACTTAAATATGTATGTGCCAGGCATTGTTTTAGCACTTTACATATTTTAACTTATTTTATTTCATAACAACCCTATAAGGTAGATGCTATAATTACCTCCATTTTACCAATGAGGAAACAGGCATAGAGATATATAATGTATATATGTCATCAGTGTCTATTTAAAACTTGTAAAATTCCTTAGGCAACTAAAACTCACTTTATACAGTGTATCAGCTTAGTGCTACCTGTAGACTTGATGTTAAAAGATTAGACACCTAAGTAATGGGACACATCTTTTGTGCAGACACTTTTTGAGATAATCTGTTCCTACTTTTGTTAATATTAATTTGGCTTTCAAGGTGGCAGTGTGATAATGCATTGAGTAGTTAGACTGAATCAATCTGTGACGACTTGCTTGACAGTAATGTTGTAGCTACCAGTTTTGGTTAGCTGTTAAGGAGAATGGCTTATAAAGACTAAGCATAATTTAATGTGTAGAATCAGTCAGTGGGTAACAAATAAACTGATGACATATATTTGTAGATGTCAGGGAAAGGATTTAGGGCTTTGTGAGAATTTCAGTTAGCTGTAGAGCAGTAGTTCTCAACCAGGGAAATTTTGCCCCTCTTCCTGCCAGGGGCAACTTGGCAAAGTCTGTAGACACTTTTAGTGGGGAGTGCTACTGGCATCTAGTGGGTACAGTTCAAGGATGCTGCTAAACATAAACATGCTGCAATGCACAGGATGGCCCTCTACAACAAAGAATCTGGCCAAAATTGTCAATAGTGTTGAAGTTGAGAAACTCTGCTCTGAGGAGAGCACCTGACAAGGCTAGCCTCCCTTTTTCAAATATCTGTTATTTTTCTATACTGGATGCTTTTCAAGGTATAGCAGTTGTTAATGTTGCCAAGGAGGAATCAGGCTGTAACATGTTTTCAGGTGGGGTTGGGGAAAAGAAGGGAACATGAATTAAGTGCCAAACGTTATACTAGGTTTTATGTATGCTGTCTCATTTAATTTTCCCAGGGACCTGTGAGGTAGGAGTAATGATTCCTGTGTTACAGATGAGGTATTATTTAGGGCTGAAATAAGTCAAGAAACATTTTTGGGAACTGCTCCCTAGAAGAAGATGTTCCATGATAATTACCTATTTTTAGGACCAATTAGTTTTCTTTTCTCTCCTTTGGAAATCTCTTCCAAGTTCATTTCTTTAGCGGTCACATCTAAGAGGATACAGTGCCTTCCAAGGCTTGTTGAGCACATGCCAAGTCTGTTCTTTTCAAGTCTATCTTTCAAGTACATGCTATTTTAGGCTTGGTGCTAAAAACTGGGTGTATATATACAGAGAGGTAAGACCCAAGTACCACCCTCCTGGTGGGAAATAAATAGGGATTGGGAAAATGATACCGGAGCATTCTTAAAGATGAAGAGTTAACCAGGTGTGAAATAGGGTGTCTGCCTCTATAGGAAAGTTTGGAGGCAGAGCTGGAGAGAGCTGCAATGTGGAATTGCAGATGCTTTGGTCTGACTGAAGCAGAAGGTGTAGGGGGTCAGGCTTTGTACTGGACACATGTGATCTTTTTATCTCTCTCTCTCTCAGCTCTCAGACCCTAATTTTTTTTTTTTTTTTGTCTTTTGTCTTTTTTCCGTGCCCGGCAACGGATCGCAACCCTCAGTGTTGCCCCCGTACCGGACCGGGGACCGGCAACGGGATCGCAACCCTCGGTGTTGCTCCCGCGCCTCGCTCAGCCAGTGAGCGGGAACCGGTCTGTATGTGGGATCCGAACCCTCGGGCGGGAGCGCTGCCGCGCTTCCCAAGCGGCGCACTTATCCAGTGCGCCACCGGGCCGGCCCTCAGACCCTAATTTTAACTGTTTGTTCAATATCTCCTGAGTGACCTGCTGACATTTCAGCGTCATATATACCAAACTAAGCTCATCTGTTGTCCTAAATCTGCACCTTCTCCCATGGGTCCTGCATCTGTTAATGGTACCATTGACCTCCCTTTCTCCAAAGTTTGGAACCTAGATATTTGATTTATTTTCCATCCACATATAGTTATCAAAGTTGGTCTTTTCTTCCTCAGTAATATCTCATAAATGTCTTTGCTTTTCCATTCCTGCTGCCACAACTCGTTTACCTTTTTGTCTTTTTTCGTGACCGGCAATGGATCGCAACCCTCAGTGTCGTGCCCGTACCGGACTGGGACCGGCAACGGGATCGCAACCCTCGGTGTTGCTTCCGCACCTCACTCAGCCAGTGAGCGGCCGGTCTGTATGTGGGATCCGAACCCTCGGCAGGAGCGCCGCCGCACTTCCCAAGCGGCGCACTGTAGCAGTGCGCCACCGGGCCGGCCCCAACACAACTCAAGTTTAGACTATATCTTTTGCTTAGATTTTATACTGACTTCCTAACTTGTCTCTCCACCTCCAGTCTTTAGTTTGCCAACTGTTCTTTAGGTATAGCTCTACTTATTCATCATAGCAAAAATTTATAAGCTCTGAGGTTGACCTTAGGAAGAGTTGAATCCTGAGAGCCCACATCATTAACTCCCTTTGACATCAGCAATTAAGGATTGTTCAGCATCATGACTTTTAATAATACCAAAAAGGAAACAAACTGCAATTCTCCAATCAGCAAATTTTGAGATTTTCCCAAATATTCCTTCCTAACCATTTCACTTCCATGGATCCCTTTTATTCTTCCTTCTGTATCCTACCTTACTATAGACTCTGTGATTTAAAATTGTATAGTAAGTCTAGGAAGAAAAGTCTGTATCTTAGGTGACCAAGCAACAGCTTCAATAATCCCTTTTTCTAAAACACATTTTTTTTTTCTCTTTCAGAAAACTCTCTGGAAGATTACTTTTATTTTTGCAAATTGAATGCAGTGTTCTGGAGTGGTCTGCAGTAAGAATTAAATGAGGAAAATATA